AATAATGCTTCACTGAATTATTTTAAATTATTGCAAATTAATTTAAGCTATTTTAAATCAAATCGTATATTTTATTTATAATAAATTTAGTGAGTCTAATTTTAATTCTTGAATATTAAAGGTTTTTAAAAATATTAGCTCTTATCTTTTTTATTTGTTTTAATTATTTCAAATTATTTTAATCTATTTTGAATTATTTCAAATTATTTTGCCTTATATTTCTTAAAAATCTATTTCAAATTATTTCGAATTATTTTAAGTAATATTGTGTAATATTTTATATAATATTGTATAAGGGGAGCGCTATTTATCATCTGATTTTTTGCTACTAAGTGGCTACCCCCTGATCATAAATGCTGCATTTTGATTAGCTAAAAAAATTTAAAAAATTTTTAAAATTTTGACATTAATACTAGATAACTTTTGACCTAGCTATCTATTTTGAATGATTTTATCACCAAAATGTCCGTCTTAGTGAGATGATTCTAACAAGCCCAAAATTATCAAAATCCAATCACAGGATCCTGAGATCAAAATAGATTTGTATTATTATTATTATTTTTTTTCTTTTGATAACCGCGTACTAAAATTTTATTAAATGTATAATGCTTAATACAAGACCAAACTACTTTAATAGGGAATTAGACTAAAAGCCGGCTGTCTCTTAAAGATGCCCAACCTTGGTTATCGCACTGATGTTGGCCACTATACCCCATATATAGTGCGCCATATTTAAAAATATAATATAGCTGGGGCTCAGCTCCCACCTCAGAACCTCTTTTCTCTTCTAATTCTTCCTTTTTCTCAAAGAGCACGAGACAAAAAGGGGGAAAGTTTAAATCAAAAAACAAATACGAAAACGACCAAAAAAGAAAAACAAACAAACAAAATGAAAAAATAAACACAGATTTCGAAAAAGAAAAAACATGAAAAGAAAACTATGACCCTAAACGCACTATTATAACCCGTGCAAAGTTGGTAAAAATTATATAACAAATGCAGCATTTGTATATCTCTTTTGTAAAGGTAAAGCTCTGCCTTGGCATTAAAATTTCTTTCCGATCTTCCCACCGAATTCAGATAGCTCTGTTGTCCGAGGATCTATATCAAGGCTCCCTTCCGCCATAATTAAAGTTCCTGAGTTGAGTCCCATGCAGTAGTGCTATATCTGTCTATAAACAAACATGTGGTTGCAATCTACTAGTCCGTCTGAATTTGGGAAGTAAACAATGCTGATCTTTTGGAGAAGGTAAGCCAAATCCCCACTTTTTGTCAAAAATTTTGAAAAAAAGGCAGGAAAGTGGAAAAAGGATAGTAGATACCACTTAGTCAATAAAAAAAAGTGCAGCTTGAAAGAAGCCTGTTCTTTACTGTTCCCCAGTTGTTTCGCAACTGATAACTTCATCGACGGTAGGCTTGGACTTCTATCACCTCCACCTATCTATCAAAATTTTATATACGAGGGCACTATCTTCTGCCAGTTATCTTGTATACAGATGATTTTGGCTTACATGTCGAATATATAAAGAAGTCTCTGAGATAGCAAAAAGGTTAACCTTTATAAAAACCGCTCTGTTGATTCACCTCACTACAGGTTACTACTCTCCAGTATCGAAAATAAGCTTTTCTTTTTGTCAGAAAATTTGGTCCAAGTGATCGTCAAAAAGAGTTGACAAAGTATATATAAGTTATTGGCCTCTCTTTAACTTATATATACCTTGAGCTATACTTGTTTTATTTACTTCTACTGAAATAGGGATCTCTGAATGTTGATGAGAAAGAACCTTTGAATGATTATGTCTATTAGGCTCAACAATATCTAAATAATGTTTGCAGCACAATTGCTGTCTAACTATCAAATAAGTATAGGAAGTATAGGTTCTTTTTTTTGGCTTTATCACAGGCTAATAGAATAAATTTACAGAAGTGATCTGTAATTGTGATACAATTTTGTACTGAACATGGTCCTTCGTTTTTTTTATTCATTTTGATCTGAAAAAATATGATCTTATGTAAACTTAATATAAATAATATATGATTTTTTTAAAAAAAAATGAACTTAATATCGCTCAACTAAAATAATGTGTTTATTTAATTGTCCAAAGTGAAACGGAGCTCTTTGTAAACAGGTAAACTAAATTAAATTTTATATAAAATTCTAGAATTTTTCTTTGTTTTGGTAAATTACTATATTATACAACTTAAACTTAATTTAAATAAAAATTACTTTTTTTTTTTTTAAACATGCTATAAATAATTATTTTGTATTGATTTGGCTTGAAAGGTTTCTTCACGATTCTTCTAAAATAATCACATGTTATGATTTGGAGTGTAATTAACCAATTAGGTTTTTATTTACATTGATTGCCTAATAGCCAATAAAATTAAACTTAACTCATGCTCTCTACGTAAATCAAACCTTTTATAGAATTTTGTACATTTCAACCTCGATTTTGATTGGCTAACAGTCACGGATGACTTTGACAGGGCTTAGGATCGATTTTCTGTTTACTTAACTTCTGAATGTGACTGCCGAACGTGATCACTGAATGTAACTTCCGAAGATCCCCAATACTGCAATACATTACACCAACTTTTTTTCGTGATTTTGATTCATACACTACAAAAGTTCTTGTTTTACTTTAAATCTCTCTCATTGGAACTAACAATTCGTCATTTTCACAAGTTAGTACTTCATTCTCAAAATCTTAGTCATTGTACTCTAGAAAGTTAAATCCACAATTGTAATTTTTTCTAATTTATTTCTGGTTGCATTTTCTTTTTTTCTTTAATCGTTCTTAGTGACAACAAAGACAATATATCAAAAAAATACATGCTTATTTATAAACATACAGTACTTGGATAATTTGCATACAAGCTAAGGTATGGACTGTTTAAGCAATCTATTTATTACAAGAAACTTAGCTAATTTTTTATATAACTACATGATATTCAATAATAATACCTTTGCATTTTACAAATATAAGGTTCAAGGCTTCGAATCACTCCAAGTTGTACTATGTAGCCTTTTATTTTTTGCTTTATCTATATCTTTAAGAATAGTAAAGGCACAGTCTAGATTATTAATGATTGCTTCTACATGATTTAGATTATTTGCCAACCATTCTTTATTTATATAATTAATTAAATAGTTTAGCTCTGCAACTTTAAATTCTACCTTTTCATGTCTTTCAATATGTTTTTTTCATGGGTGTTTTCTAATTCAAGGACATGTACTAATTTGATTATGTATATCTGAAATTTCTAGATTTTCCAATACGTCTTCGTTTCTACAGATCAAAAAAGAATACTCGGTTTGCCATTTAAAGTTTGAATAAATTAGTCGAATACTTTGTGAAAAATTTTCTGCTTTTTTGGAGACTTTATAAATCAAGTGTTTGCAAATAAGAAAGCAACTGTAAAGAAATGAAGGACAGCTACAAATCCAGCATATTAAATCAATATAGTAGTGTTCTTTGATTTTATTGACTGGTTTTGCAAGTAAGTTTCTCCATTTTGCTTTAAAATCATTGAACTATAATAGTGTTATTCTCCAATTTGCAATTGCTGAAGTTTATCAACTTGATCAGGTAAAACATGCGAATTTATAATCCAAAGAAGATAGTCAAGACATAGGCGATTGTATTGATAGAGATAAGAATGCTTTAAGACTTTCCAATAAGCCTCAATTATGTTATTTGTCTTACCAAGTGGTATATTTTTTTATGTAAAATGTGCCCAAAGACACCACCATGTTGCTTTATACCAGGCAGGCCACAAACATGACCAAAGAATTACAAAACTATTTGTAACACAAAATTCATACATTTCATGAACTGATTTAGCTCTTATTTCTATAGATAATAAGAATTTTCCATCAGCATTAATGGGGATCTTATGATGCATATTAAAATGCTTTTGAATAAGATTTATGACAGTTTCTCACAGATCAGGTGGACAAACAACGTAGTATTCCTTATCCTCATGCTGTAGATTAGGTATAAAAGAGGAATCAATAAAAGAAAATTCTTTTATAGCTTCTTGATGTTGATAATTTGTATGTCGAATTCAATAACAACTTCTAAGTTTCTTTTAATTGCTTCTTCAAGGTGCCACAAACACAATTGTATATTACTTTCTGGCCACACATTTCTCGCAGCATTTATTTGCACGAAATCTTTGTTGGTATAAAAGTAAGTTGGGTTCAAACCTTTACTATGAAAAGCATTAAAAAGCCTGTAAGAGCTTCTGTCTGCAATCCTTTTTGAGCTTCACTATTAGAGGCCTTTGTTATATCTAAGATGATGTAACCCAACAGAAATCCCATGCCTTCGACATTACCAACGAGTCCATAAAGTTCAAAATGCTCTTTAGCCATTTTATATGTAGCATCACAATGTATTTCCATTATATTTTTTGTTAAGGCAAGTAAAGGTGTAGTAAAACCAATAGCTGTAACATATTTTGTTTCGAGTTGAAAGCATAAGTCACAACCACCTTCTTGCTGCTGTTCAAAAAACTTAAGAGTGGAAACAACATGGTTTCATCAAATTTATAGAATTGCTGATTATAATGTGACCACCAGTAATATATTTGTTTTGAGATAACATTTAATAGATCAAATTTTTTGCGAAAATACGATCGCAAATATGTTGGAGTCATTTCCAAGTTTTCCTTTATTTCTTGCTTAACCTCTGATGGCATTGCAATATCAATAGGCTTATCATGTATAAGATCGTGTCACAATACTATTTTTGCTTCTGCTGCTAATAAGTTCAAATGGATAGTTAATTTGCCCTTATAATCAAACCAATCAATTCTTTTACAGTTTGAATCTACATATTCATGTTTAAGCTCATTACTTTGTGAACATACAAAGTAAGCATTTCCAACACCCTGATTATGAGTTGAAAGATTTGGAGCAGTTGTAGCACTACAATTGAATACTATAGATATAAACTTTATATATTTATTTATTATTATTATTAAATAATTTATACTTACATCCAATAATAGCCATCTGCTTCTTTGATTTCGTTGACAATTAATTTAGCCATTAGTTTAACGTTCATGCCATCAATATTATGTATTTCTTCTTTGAGCATAACATGAAAATTAATATTAAGTTCATTATTATACTCTAAGCTATCAGTTATATAATCGCTAATTTCTTTAAAAGAAATTTTTTCCATAGGTGTATCTTCAACATTAATACTATCACTTTTAACAGCTCTCTTTTTAGCTTTAGCGATCAAACATCTAGAACATGTTTTGTTAAGTTTACCTTCAAGTACAAAATCATTACGGGGTAGTGTACGTGAACAAGAGGTGCAGAGCATCGTACTTAGTAAGTTATAAGTGGATTTGTTTTTACTAATATTACAGCGCTACTAAATAATTTGATTAAGTGATGGAAAACTTTATTATTATGAGAGTAAGTATTTGATTTTTTTTTTTTTCATGTATCGAAATTTTGTTAATGACATTTGTTATGCTTATAGGTACTATATTTTACTTTACTATTTTGTACGTTACTAAGTTCGTTAGAAATTAGATTAGATTACAGGGTAGTCTACATGAACAAGAGGCACAAAGCATCGTATTTGTTAGGCTACAAGCAGTTTGCTACTAAATAATTTGATTAAGCGATAGAAAGCTTTATTATTATTATTAGATGTAACTTGGCTTATGTTTAAGAGTAAGTATTTGATTTTTTTATATATCAAAATTTTCTTAAAGCACTTATTATTTATTTTCTTTTTGTGTCAATTAAACTTTCACTTAATTACGAGCTTATAGGTACTATCATTATCTTGTATATCAATACGTTTATTAGCAATTAGATTATAGAAAGATTTTCCTCTAATTCGCAACAGGAGATATTACACAACTAATCCTTCACCCGGTGTGCAATATATAAAAAAATTATTTTACAATATCAAATTATTCCGCTAGTAATGTTATGATTATAATCTATCACTATTTTTATTATAATAAAGTGGTTTGGATTATAACTATAAAATTTACTAGTGGAATGATCTGGTATTGTAAAATAATTTTTTATATGTTGTATACCGGGTGAAGGATTAGTTGTGTAATACTATATCAACGGCTTCTCCTGTTCTAATTCGCAATTGTGAAATCATTCTTTATATGTATTGGAATTTTCAATAGTTGATCATTTTGTATAGGGCTAAAATGTAGTATTTTTTAAAGAAACCGTATAAGTGATTGTTTAAATTGGTTAATGCCAATTAGAAGGTACCTTTCTATAACCATCTGTTTGATATTTTGAATTTTTTTTTTTGCTTCGAATATTTAAATTATTACTGTCAAAATAAGTAAATGCGAATAATTTACTATTTGCTACATATATGAAATTAAAGAATTTTAACAATTCATTTAAAAGTTAAGCTGTAATCCTGTTTTTTATAATTCGAAAATTTTTATTTTAAATATTTTAATTTGTCTAATATGTTGGGAGTATAATTATAAACTATTAAGCTTTTTATAAAATGGGTTATTTTAATAAAAAAAAAACTTTGCTTTATATAAACCGATTTATTTATAAATGAAATAATAATAATAATTATATTACGTAGCAATTTTTTTAATACTTTATGAGCCTTCAAAATCTGAAATTAGTATTATAAATTTATCGAGTCGGAACACATGATCACAAATCGGAAGTCACGTGAACAGAAAATCGATCCTACGCCCTGGTGTTGTCGTCCGGATCTTCAAAATTTTGGCCGCATTATATAATTGTTTATTAATTATAGCTGCCGCAACAAATTTGGACCGGCAGATCCTCGATTTTGATCGAGGATCTTCAAAATTTTGGCCCACATTACAAAATTGGTTACTAAATTCCGGCCGGAATTAACTTTTTAATTTTTTTATACAAAAATAGAAATTCTTAAAAAAATAAGCCCGCATTATGGTAAAATTGACCCAGGAACAATTTTTACTTAATGGGCGGCTATGTTTTCAATAGTAAAATTATGAGTAATTCCGGCCTAATTTTTTGATCGTCACTCTTAGCCAATCAAAATCGAGAATCTGCCGGTCCAAATTTGTTGCAGCAGCTATTACTATGGTTAATTAAGGGTTTCCTTATGTCAAGAAAATCCCGGGCTAAAGAGCATAGCGGGCTTTCATTCCGATTGGCTAATTTTTGTAGATCATTTCATGATTTTACAAGATCTGATTGGCTAATAGACTTATACCAAGAATGAAACTCAAAGTAAAATATTTCACAAAATATTACAGTATTAATTGAATAAAAGATACAGTACGTTTAATTATTGCAATAATTATTATTTTAATCTGATAGTCATTATCATATATATAATCCGATAGATTTAAAAAAATTCGATATCTTAAATTTTAAAATTTAAACGATCAATTAGATACGTGTATAAAGAGAACTAAATTGCTAACAATAAATAATAACAAGAAAAATAATAATTAAATTAATATACTGTAAATAAATTAAAAGGAATAGTAAACAACTACAAATAATACAAATAAAAAGTACACAAAACTCAAACCTATCTTTCATTAGTTTCGACAAGTCTTTTAGTTTTACTTATTAGATTACAAAAGTTGAAGCTAGTTTCAACTTTCATCAATATCAAAATCTATAAGCTTTGTCTAACAACTACAATCTAAACATACTATTAATCTTTAGAACAAACTCGCTTACTAGAGATCTAACTATAAAAAAAAAAGCTTTAATATTTCTTTCGTTTTAGAGATTCTTATATAATATAAGTAGCAACTAAATAAAAAAAAAACGCTCTATAGCCAACCCTCATGATTACTTCTCCGTTTTCGTGATTATTTTGACAGTATATAGAGTGAAAGGTGTAGTTTCTGAATATGTATTCGGTTCCCCTTGACAATTCGTTTTCATGGCTGCCAATTCGTTTAAAGTCAAATGATATATGTGGCGTATATATGACAGTGATTGACCAATCGGATTTAAAGACCACTATGCTGGGCTGAAGATCACTGTAGATCCTTTCCGATCTAATTCCGAAGCCAAAACATTCAATTTCTTTAAACTTCTAGCGAC